AGTTTCATTCACATCAAGGATTAGAACACACTTTCTTCACTACTTCGACTTCACCACCGCTTCATCTTCACTACCTTCACATGCCTTCTATCTTCACCTCCTCCTTCACCACCTTCACCTTTTTAGACACGTTAGAAGACAGAAAGAACTGAACACCTTCCCCCCCTTTTTTTAAAACCAAATGATGATTCTTATATTTAAGACGTTCAAAATACGAAGTTATTCTCGGGCTATCCCATTGGCGAAGAAAAGTTTGTCGAACAAACCAGCTAATATCAGCCAATAGTTGTATTGATTGACGTGCTGTGCAAGTGCATTGTTCGCTTTCTGAGTAATCCTTTGGTACGTTCGTTGATTGCAAAACGCGAGGTACAGATGCGATCATGCTTCCCAGAAGCTAGTGTTAACTTCGGATTAGCCCATTGGCGAAAAGGTTGATGGGTAAAACCTTAACTGAACACTATTGTTGTTGTTAGTGGTTTGTTACTCTCTTGAAATGAAAAAGGAGGTTGAGCATACGCGATTGGGTGTATTATTATATCCTTATTGCAAGGTACTAGATGTGTGGCCCAATCACGTGTTGGTGTTGTCTGCTCCCTTGTGGTTTATGGGGTGAAATGGTTCCCAAACCCGGCTTCGGATCTCTTAATAGCCTTTGGTGCGTCCCCTGAGATCCCTCGTGTGTATGATCGTGTGAAAGTTACGTATATGACGTGTAAACTGCACGAGTAAACTTCGCATTTATGGCATGTAAACCTCGCAACATAAAAACTGATGGTTTAATAATAATAATAATATATTATCCTCCCTTTAATTTTAAACCGCTTTATTAATAGACCAAGTATATTTTAATTCTTATTTATAAATTAAATTTTAAATAAAACTTATTTTTTAATAATACTTTATGATAATAATTAATTATAAAAAAAGAATAGTATTTAATAGGGTTTCTGGTTCATTTTTTCGCTTTTTTGCACAAATTGATATTTTTTAAAAATCAAATAAAGCGCAGATTGTAATTTGAAGAAACATTATCTAATTCCAGTGTTTTAGATAGCGAATCGTTGTACGAAAAATTGAGATACTCGCCACAATAACGAAAAGAAAAGCTAGTTTAACTTCTTGGTTCTCTTTCAAATCTAATGGATGTAAATTTATTATATTAGCAAATGCAAGTCTCCCATTACCATAGCAATCTTGAAATTATAGCGATAAAAGCGATAATAATAATAATAATAATCATGTATCTTTGAATTTTTATTTTTCGTATATCGGATCACGCGTAAAATAGGAAGGTTTCATTTGTTTTAAATTACCTTAATATGGGTAATCTTTAAAATTTGCCGATAAATTAAAAGTATTTATTAATAAATAATACACGTGATGAAATGATTCATAATCAGTCTTACGATATGCGACATTTTTAATTGAATAATCAAAGATAAAAAAGGGGTTGCTTCTATACACGCGTTTTTTTAAATAAGAAAAAATGCGGAATAAAAAAGCTGTTGCTGCTGCCAAAGCATCAAAGTTCAAAATAGATAAAAAAGTGGTTGTGCTACATTCTGATGGCAGTAAAAGTTTGTTGGAGACTGTTGATGTTGAATCTTTGTCGCAAAGAAATGAGAAAAAAACTAATAAAAGAGAATCAAGAAACGGCAATCCGATGGATGTTGATTCGACTTCTAGCCAAGCAATTGAAGTCATGCAAGAAAAAGATATTGAGACTCATGATGAAACGATAAATCCTAGTCAATCAGACAAGGGCGGTGAGGATGAAAGTGACGAATTCGAAGAGGTAGAGGTTCCTAAATGTGAACAAAGTATGTTCTAATCCTTGATGTGAATGAAACTTGATTGACTTAAGAGTTGAATTGATTGAGTTGGTAATTTCTTGTAGATGAAATGCAATCACAATACCCTTATGATAATTATGTGAAGCTTAAACCAGAGCAGGATAAAACGATTGAAATAACTTTCTCCGTGCCTGCAATAAAGTGATTTCATTAACTTTAAACTAAAGATAAATTTTATTTTCAAATTTATTTGTAACTTGATTGATTCACATAATTACATGTATGTATATATACAGAGCACGCGGAATCTCAAAAATGGATCGTGTTATTCGAACTGGGATTCACAAAATGCATGTGATGTCACTTTTAGCACATGGCATGATTCGAAATAGATGGTGCAATGATATGCTTATGCAGGTAAAGTTCTTTATTCATTGTACATTACTAAATTTTGTTTTTCGACATACATACGCTGACCAATCGTCATTGAAATCTTAGGCGTTATTATATTCATTGATACCGACTGAGATACTGAGTTTTTTTGAAGATTTTTCAAAGAATGCAGAGAATCGTTCTATATCTGATCTGAAATTTTCATTAAATCCTTTGTGTTTGTGGTGGCGAGATTATTTTAAGATTACTAGACTCGGAATTTGTTCCCGAGATTATGATGAATTTGGTGTGAAGGGAGTTTCAGAGGTATGCCATGCGTATTATCATTAATATAAATTGAGTATAAAGAATTTATTTAAATCTTTACGTAGGAAAATCAAAAAGATTTTGTTGATTGGATTCCTTCTGTCCATGCTCTGCGAACCGCTATTAAAGAAGGTAAAGGAAGCAAAGATACTTCTGCCCAATTGTTTGTTGCGTTATTGAGATCGTTGGGTTTTTCTGCTCGATTGATAATTTCGTTACAAGCTGTTTCCTTTAAATTTGCTACTAAAAAGCCTGTAGCAAGGAAAACACTTGTAAAACGAAAGAATTCTGTTAAGTTGTTTCCAAAAAGTAAACAAGACGAAGAATCTTCTAATGTGAATACCAAAGAAGTAAAAAGAAAACGTAACATTATTGGTTCTTCGAGTCGCAAAAAGATTAAGACTGCTGAAAGTAATGAGGGAAGTGATGATGAAATTGTTACCACGGAAAAAGTTAGCAAGTATTTCACTACTCCAGTTAAGCGATCAAACGCGTCTCAATCAAGAATGAGTCCAAGTCGCAAGGCCAAAATGGAAAATAATGATTCGGATGATTCTGAAGATTTTACTCCGCTTTCAAAAAAACGTTCATTTCATTCGTACGCTTTTCAGCCAAAGAATGAAACCCCCGCTGTCAAAGATGAAAGTTCAGAACATAGTGATCCTCAACCTTCTAGTAAAAAGAGTGTTCGCAGATCACCTCGACTCAAAAAAACTCGATCAAAATCTCTGAAAATTGATAGTACAAGTGGAAGTGATGATGAAAAAATAGAAAGCGATTGTTATGAGCCAATTGTTCTTATAGAGGCAAAAGACGATTACGTTGATGAGTTTAAACCATCTCTAAAAAGATCACGATCAAGAGCAAATAGCTATGCTGAAACAAAAGATAATCCAAACAATGGTAATTATCATATACAATACGTTTTATTATCTTTAAACTTTATTAATTGAACCCTTATCTTTTTTAATCGCTACAGAATACGAGGAACCTCCGGTTTATTGGTGTGAATTGTACTCGGAAATTGATAAAAAATGGTTTTGTGTGGATCCAATAAGAGCAATAATTGACGATCCTCACGCTATGGAACCAGCTAATAATTCTACCAATAATGTAATGGCATATGTTGTGGCTTTTGAAAAGGGTAAAAAGCATGATTGATAATCTATTATAATTATAAGATTTGTGTCTGATTTTGAACAGACCTTTTTGTTAAGGACGTGACTCGTCGTTATGCTTCTAAATGGGGAGCACATACGCGTAAATTACGCATTCCACCAACTAAAGACGGGTATGATTGGTGGCAAGAGACATTAAGTTACCGAGCTCGACTTTATGAAACGGTATTATTTGAATTATAACTTATTCGTTTCCGGTTCTCGGCTAAGAATCTAATTGTATTAGGAACGTGATAAATTGGAGGATAAAGAATTATCTTCCACAGAAACTTCTGAGGCAATCCCCATGACCATTAGTGCTTTTAATAATCATCCATTGTATGTTCATACTTGATTCAAACCTGGTTTCAAATTATTGAATAACTTTAAAAAACAATTTGTAGATATGCTCTTGAACGTCATTTGAAAAAATTCGAGATATTACATCCAAAGGAACCAATACTTGGAGAAATTCGCGGTGAACCAATTTATCCGCGTGAATGTGTTAAACAGGTATTCGTGAAATTCTGTTCTGTTTGAAAAATATGAAACATAATTAAATCATTCATAATTTTAGTTGCATACTGTTGAAACATGGTTAAAGGAAGCTCAGGAGGTCAAGGTAGATGCGGATATCCCATTTTATAGCTTTATTAAATTAGATATTGAATATCGTTTAATACATAGGAAGGAGAGCAACCTCTGAAATATGTAAAATCTCGTGCAGTCACACTGAGTAAAAAAAAGGAAGATAAAATGGCCGAATATTTTGGTGATGCACCAAGGGAATCTGGATTATACGCAGAATGGCAAACAGTACCATATAATCCGAAACATTTAATTGATGTATGTATTATTTATTGCTTTTGTACATAATATATTTTCCTAAGGTTAATTTTTTCCACATTTAGGGCAAGATTCCTGTAAATAAGTATGGTAATGTGGACATGTTCAAACCAAGCATGTGTCCAATCGGAGCTGTTCACATACCAAGTAAGTTTTATTTGTTACCTATAAATTCGTTTATCAATTAATTTTATTACTCTTTTTATGTAGTTCGTGGTATTGCCAAAGTCGCAAAAAAACTTGAGATTGAGTTTGCCGAAGCTGTTGTAAGTTTCTTAGAAATTTTATTGATATTAATAAGGACATTTTTTCGAGTACTTTTCTATTATGCTATACACAGACCGGTTTCAATTTTCAATGTCATCGATGTGCGCCTATAATTGAGGGGATTGTTGTCGCTAAAGAGAACGAAGAAATTGTTCTAGAGGTATTAGTTTTTTTTTCATTATAGAGAATCGATTATATAATAATTCAGCGTCCTGGTTTTTGATAAAAGGCATGGAGAGAACATTCAGAAATTGTAGCAGCTCGAGAAGCCGCAAAACGACGAAAGGGAACATTAGCCAGATGGCGTAAACTTGTTGTCAAGATGCGGATTCGGCTACGTGTCAGTCAACAATTTGCTGAAAAAATAGAGGAACGGGCAGAGAGTGGAGAGAGTGAGTTTGAACATGAAGATGAGGACGAGTTAATGCATGATGACAATGAAGAAGAGAAAAAGCCATATAAGGTTAAGGTTAAGGAAGTGGAGGGTGATGATTAGTGTTGCATACTATATAATAGGTTTAATAAAGTTGAAAGATTGTAACTTTTAGATTTAAAAATCGTAATCTTTTGCCATAATTGGTATAACATTCGTAATTTGTTGTAAAGTTCGTAATTGATGCATTATTCGTAATTGGTGTAAAAAATTCGCAATTAATATTTGTACAGAATAATGAAATCTTGAGAAAATCGAGTGTAAGGCCCATCAATTATCTAAGGGGAGTTACGTCATTGATTAAGCCACTGATCAGTGTTAGTATATTAACACATCTTTCTATCAACAAACAAAAAATGGCAACTACTCAAGAACTGAGAGAAGAGTTGAAGGAAGCGAAGGAGCAGCTGTTGAAGGCAGAGAACGAATTGCAGGCGTTCAAGGAGGGAGAGGATTGGCAGTGGCTTGCAGAGTTGACAATGAAGTTGCGGAGAGAAGAAGGAACTACGGCGCAGCAGCAAAGATGGGAGAAGGAGAAGGACGAGCTGGCTGCGGAGAAGAAGAGACTGGAGGATGATGTCAGGGCGTGTAGGAGGCAGGTGGAAAACATACGGAATGCACTCGTAACATTGACCACTCAGCCAGGTAATGACTGTGACTCGGGCGTTGGGGA